TATATATGTGTATATATATATATATGTATATGTATATATATATATGTATATGTATATATGTATATGTATATGTATATATGTATATGTATATATGTATATATGTGTGTATATACATATATATATACACATATACACATATACACATACACATATATATACACATATATGTATATATATGATATATGTATGTATAACATCTGACTAATGTCACATTTAAATACGACTTTAGCTGGATGTTATGAGAAAAAGGGGCTCACTAGTGTAGCTGCTGATGCTAATGCTAGCTCTATACTAAGAGCTGAGCTGCACCGCTACTTCAATGGCTCGTATTTTACTTCCGAATCGAAATTAAAGAGGGAATATTGTGCACTTTCCACACTAAATATAAATATAAATATATGTTTAATAAACCCGACCATGGTGCAGCTGTACGGGGGATCAGTAAGAGAACATGTTAGCCGTTAGCATGGCTGTCAGTACCGATGTCTTCTGGACGTGTCCCCGCTGTGTGATGGTCTTGCTGTGCCGCTCGTTCGCAACCTTCATCCGCTGCACCGCCGACATGTTTCGGGTCTGGACCGAGAGGACGGAGAGAGCCGGGGAACGACTGGGAGGAGGAGGAGCCGGTGCCGGTAAAGAAGATGTCCCGCTGAACGGTGGATCTCTGACCGGTGGTTTGTTTCTGTGTTGTCGGTCCGAATGAAATGCTAATGCTAGTTAGCAAGCTGCTTAGCCGACCGGAGCTAGCTAGTGTGAGGCGACTCTCCTCGTCACGTGACACGGGACAGTCAGCCCTCTATTGGCGGGAAGAGAAATACATAAATGATATACCCTATATATATATATATATATGTATTATGTACATATATATATATATAATGTATATTCTATTATATATATATATATATATATATATTATACATACATATATATATAGGGTATATCATTTATGTATTTTTCTTCCCGCCACCAGAGGGCTGACTGTCCCATGTCACGTGACGAGTATAATATATATATATATGTATAATATAATATACATTATATATATATGTATATATATATGTATCTATATGTATCTATATATGTGTATATGTATATATATATATATATGTATGTGTATATATATATATATGTATATATGTATATTTATATATATGTATGTATATATGTATAATGTGTATATATATATATAATGTGTATATGTATATATATATATATACATTATGTACATAATATATATATGTACATAATATATATATGTACATAATATATATATACATTACATATATATATATATGTATCTATATATGTATCTATATATATATATATATGTATATGTATATATGTATATGTATATATATATATTATATATATATATATATATATTAGTGTTGGGCAACGATTACAATTTTTAATCGTGATTAATCTCATTGTAATGCACAAAGTTCAATAATGAATTATAAAATAGTGTATTGTGCAATTTATTTTAAAGTACTGCTATATGAACTAAAGGTCAATAACATTTGGTTTGTAAACACTTTAAACACATCAGGTTCTTGTTAGCAGCAGCAGTTATAACACAGTTATAATGATTCTGATCATAGCTATTCAGCCGGTGTTCACAACTTTATCTTCATGTGTGTAAGAGATGATATTTAAATATACATCTTGAGAACTGCAACCTATCTACGTCATCTTTTTATGTTTGTTAAATTCTCAGTAGTGATACTAAATGATGCTTATTATACATATTACAAACAAAACACTTTAAAAACTCTAAAACAATAATTTAAATGAATCATTTATTTTTTGGTATTTTGGTCAGACACATATGCAACGCTGATTACCGTAATATGTGTGGTATTTGTTATAAATGTACGTTGGTACATAGAGGGTGATAAGAAGCTGTACATGGAGGGACTTAGGACCCAGGGGAATGTAGGTGAAGGAAACAGGAAGAGACGCGATAATAATGCGTTAACTTGCCCAGTACTCATATATAGATATAATTTATAATACAGAAATATTGATTCATGATAAAATGAAGCAGCATGAGCCAAGTGGAGTTTGTCTTTTATTTAATTACATCGTGCAGTGAGACTGCACAATGTACAGTTATGCACACACACACACAGGGTTCTGCTGGCTGTGCAGTAGCCAGGGGTTAGAGGTGAGAGGTCAATGGTAGGATGTCTACCTGTCTACATTTCCTTTAGTTTAGTTGAAGTTCCAGCAGGAAGTCTCTGGAGGTCAGAGGTCAGCTTTTATTAACAGCCCAGCCCACTGATGGAGCCGATGCGGTCCATCTTCATCCCGAAGCATCCTCTTCCTCCTCCGATCATGGACTTCCTGCTCCGCCTCCTCATCTTGGACTGCCTCTGGAGGAGGTCCAGGAAGAACCGCGGGACCACCTCTTGTCCGCCGCCGGCCAATCCCCTCGCAGCACCGCCACTCACGGCCAATCCCGTGGAGGGAGAGGAGGAGGAGGGGGCGGGGCGTCCGGCTGAGCCCTCTGTGATGTCATCAGAGGTGGGAGGGGCCAAGATGAAAGAAGAGAGGCGAGAGCCGAACAGAGTGTGTAAGACCTGAGGAGAGAGTTTAAAATGTAAACAACATGTCAACACGCCAACATGCCGCCAACACGTCAACACACCGACATGTTGACATGTCTACACATCAACACACCGACATGTCAACACGTCAAGACGCCAACATGTCAACATTTTGTCAGACATGTCAACATGTCTACATGACAACATGCCGACATGTCGACATGCCGACACATCAACACGCCAACATGTTGTCATGCATCATGAACGTCATGTCATGTCGTCATGTCTACATGCCAACACGTCAACACGCCAATACGGCAACACATCAAGAGGCCAACATGTCGACATGCCAACACGCCTACATGTCAACATGTTGTCCTGCACAATGAACATCATGTCATGCCGACATGTCAACATGCCGACATGTCAACATGTTGTCTTGCATGATGAATGTCATGTCATGCCGACATGTCAACATGCCAACATGCCAATATGCAAACATGCCAACATGTCAACATGTCTACATGCTAACACGTCAACACGTCAACATGCCGACATGTTGTCCTGCATGATGAACGTCATGCATGTCATTCATCATGTCTACATGCCAACATGTCTGGGTGATGAAGGTGATGATGATGAAGATCATGGTGGTCTCCACAGACCTGTTTGTTGTCTCGTTGTCGTCTCGACTCCACGGTGACGGTGAGGAAGAGGAGGAGGAGAGGAACGAAGGAGGAGGAGGAAGATGAAGCAGCCATCTTTGTTTCTGTGGAGGAAAATAAGAAAGAAAATTGATAAAGTGTTACCATAGCAACAGAGTCTACTGTATCCTGATTGGCTGCAGGGTGTTCTGATGCAGAGTCCTCTGCTCTACAGACCATCAGGAGCCCCAGACCACTAGGAGCCCCAGACCTCTACGAGCCCCAGACCATCAGGAGCCCCAGACTACTAGGAGCCCCAGACCATCAGGAGCCCCAGACCACCAGCAGCCCCAGACCATCAGGAGCCCCAGATCACTAGGAGCCCCAGACCATCAGGAGCCCCAGACCACTAGGAGCCCCAGACCATCAGGAGCCCCAGACCACCAGGAGCCCCAGATTTAATGGACTATTTGGGGGACAGGGGGGCCACCTGGACCCACCAAACCATCATCAGTACAGATGACGGAGCTTCTTTATTTATGTATTCACTGTTTAAACTGCTTTTTAACTTTTATATTTGAATAAACATTTAAATGTTGTCTCAGTGACGTTCTGCTGGTTATGGTTTGAATAATGTCCCCTCTGGGCTTCCGTACTCCTGGTTCAATAGAAATGAATCAGATCACATGACCGGCTTTACTCACATTAGATCAGATTGAATACTGTAAAAACTTTATTGATCCGTGACACGAACGTGACGTATAAAACCACCAAAGAAGAAGAATAAAGAACAATAAAGTCACTCACCGATGAAGAGAAATATTCCAACAGAAGGACCGTGCTGCTCGTCTGGTGAGTCCGTCCTGTCTCACTGTCAGGACAGGTCGCTGGTCCACCAGCTCACAGACCCGGCCTTAAGTACGACATCAGAGCTGTGATGTCACGCATTCTTACCACGTTACCCCCAACGACGGGTCTCACACACACACACACACACACACACACACACACACACACACACACAGACAAAAGTAGAAGATCTGTGTGTGAAGACTTTGAAACATGGAGGAAAGAAAAGAGACGATAACATCGACCAATCAGACGCGAAGATTCATGAAATAAAACACACCTGAGAAGAGTTCATTCATAAATAACAGATCACTTTTTCATCATGGGGTCCTGGAGTCCGTGAGAAGGTTCCAGAGGTCCACTGTAAGTCTTAAATAGGCCTTGAAGAGGTTCCAGGGGTCCTTGAGAAGGTACAAATCAAGGAGGCTCAAATGGTTGTTAAGGATGCTGCAGTCCTTGAAGATTATCCTAGAGGCCTTGAGGAGGGTTACAGAGTCCTTCCGAAGGTATCAGAGGTACTTGAGGAAGTTAAAATGGTTCCTAGCTAGATTTCAAGGGCCCTTGAAGAGGATCCTGGAGTCTTAGAGGTGTTTAGTCATTGAAGGGGATCCTGGAATTGTTAAAGAGGTTCTCGGAAGCATTTCCGAAAGTCCTTAAGGAGTATCAGAGATTCTTTCCAGGGACAATAAGTCATTGAGAACGCTCAAATTGGGGGTTAAAGGACCTTTCAGACGGTACCAGAGGTCCTTGAGGATGTTCTAGGACCTTATAGATGGTACCAGAGGTCATTGAGGGGGTTCTAAGACCTTATATATGGTACCAGAGGTCCTTGAGGATGCTCTAGGACAGTGGTCACCAACATTTTTAAGCCCAAGATCCCCGACCTCTGCCTTGATGACAGGGAAGATCTACCTATTGAGGCGTTGAGAGAAAAAGACTGTCCAGACCAGGGGCGTTTCTACGATTCAAAGAAGGGGGGGGGCGTAGCCCCAAGGGGAGTGCACCATGTTTGCGCACATAGTGCGCGGCAATTTTTTTCGGGGCCTATTTGGGGCCGCGAAAATCCATTGTTTCAGACAGTTCATAGATTGGTTGAATCAGAAAGAGTGTGATTTTGCTCTGTAGTTTTGCTTGCATCCAGTATATGATAACACAAGAGACAAAATTTCAGGGTCATAGTGAAATTTGACAACACAAATATGAACTTTTCTCAAATAAAGAGAGAAATAATTTTCCTGCTTGTAAAGGAAAGACGGATAAACTAGCATTCATATCCGCGTCACTCCCAAATCCTAATTCTTAAAGGGACCGCACACAATGGATGGAGAACGGACCTGACAGTGTCAACTTTTGAGTTGTTTACTTGTTTCATTATGAGCAGAAGAGAATAAGATTTTGATCAACATTTACATCTATTTTGTTGTCCATGTAGGTTTTACATACCAGTGATATTTTATGCTCATTTGGACACTATCACTGAGATAAAGATGAACTAGTTCAGTGTCAAATATACCATTCAATGGAGAAAAAAAACATGAATAACAAAAATAAAAGAACACATTTCAAGTACATCTTAATTATCGAATGATAAATATTGTATGATGGGCTGAAATGGAAGGCACCCAATGCATTCACTATAATCAAGTCAAACTAGGATTACAATGTACCGAGAAAAACACTATAGGACGAGATCCGGACAGGACTTTCCACTTTGACATGATTTTAATCAGTCTGAAGTTGCTTTCGCGTTGCCTGTCGATTGTGCACACGTCTCTTCAGTTGCATGCCCTTATAAGGAGCTGGCGGGGCGTTTCTGTATGTAAATCCAGGTGCACGCGATTTAAGAATCCTCATTCGGGGAGCACAGTTCTCAGCTGTGCTCCCCGAATGAGGAAGTGCATTTCGGCTGTGTAAGAACCCATTTTCAGGCAGAGATCTTTTCTGACATTGGTCTTCCGAAGTCCGTAAGAAAACATTTCAGAAGACACTTCAGAAAATGTTCGAGAATGAGGCCCAATGTGTTTCTGAATTTATTTTTATTTTATTTTGGAGAGCGACGGGGAAAGTCTCCGAGATCGACCAGTGGATCGCGATCGACGGGTTGGCGACCACTGCTCTAGGACCTTTCAGATGGTACCAGAGGTCCTTGAGGGGGTTCTAAGTCCTTATAGATGGTACCAGAGGTCCTTGAAAATGTTCTAGGACCTTTCAGATGGTACCAGAGGTCATTGAGGATGTTCCAGGACCTTTCAGATGGTACCAGAGGTCATTGATGATGCTCTAGGACCTTTCAGATGGTACCAGAGGTCCTTGAGGATGTTCTAGGACCTTATAGATGGTACCAGAGGTCCTTGAGGGGGTTATAGGACCTTATAGATGGTACCAGAGGTCCTTGAGGATGCTCTATGACCTTATAGATGGTACCAGAGGTCCTTGAGGATGTTCCAGGACCTTTCAGATGGTACCAGAGGTCCTTGAGGGGGTTCCAGGTCCTTGAGGTTCTGATGTCTTTCTCAGACCCTCGTGACCTCTGACCTCGGTCATCCCTCCTCGTCGTAAACTGTCACCGCGGCGACCGCGTCGTCGTGACCAACTATTTCCTGTGGAAGGGGGCAGGGCTAGTGAGGTTCACATGCTCCAAAGGATAGGTGTGTGTGTGTGTTTAATGACCCCCCCCATCGTCTTTGTCCCAGTCAGACGTCTTTGTCCCGCCCCCCATTCATCCTCCGACGTCATCGACAACGCACATAAAACACACACACACACACACACACACACACACACACACAAACACACACACACACACACAGTAAGCAGTAAGCAAGGGTCATCTATCACCTCATTAGAGAGAAAGAGGCTGACCCTCTCCCCCCACAGTGACACACACACACACACGTCCTCACAAACCAGGTTAATAATAATAATAATAATAATACTTTCATTTGATATAGCGCATTTCTAAATACCCAAAGACGCTTTACAGGGCAGAGACAAACAGAACAAACAAATGAAAAGAAAGACAGAGGAGCAAACAGAACAAACAAACAGGACATTTTGGTACAAAAGGAAGCTGGAGCGTCTATGTGGAATGGGTCCTGTAGTGGAGGGTAGGGTGCAGGGGTTAGCAGGTGGAGGGTAGGGTGCAGGGGTTAGCAGGTGGAGGGTAGGGTGCAGGGTTAGCAGGTGGAGGGTAGGGTGCAGGGGTTAGCAGGTGGAGGGTAGGGTGCAGGGGTTAGCAGGTGGAGGGTAGGGTGCAGGGGTTAGCAGGTGAAGGGTAGGGGTGCAGGGTTAGCAGGTGGAGGGTAGGGTGCAGGGGTTAGCAGGTGGAGGGTAGGGTGCGAGTTTGAAGAGGTGGGTTTTGAGGGCTTGTTTGAATGTTGATAGGGAGGGAGCCTCACAGATGTGGATGGGGAGGGCATTCCAGAGGGGAGGTGCAGCAGCTGAGAAGGCCCTGTCAACCCAGGTCCAGGTCCTGATGGTCTTCAGAGTGTTTGCACCGGCGGACCTGAGGCAACGGGTTGGGGCGTGGAGGGGGAGGAGGTCTGAGAGGTAGGGAGGGGCCAGGTTGTTTTGGGCTTTGTAGGTGGTGAGTAGTATTTTAAAGTCTATTCTGTATTTGACTGGGAGCCAGTGGAGGTTGCGAAGGACCGGGGTGATGTGTTCATAGCGGCGGTATGTAATTATTACACTATAATACATGTAATTAATACACTAGAATACATGTAATTAATATACTAGAATACATTTAATTAATACACTATAATACATGTAATTATTACACTATAATACATGTAATTATTACACTAGAATACATGTAATTAATACACTAGAATACATGTAATTAATACACTAGAATACATGTAATTAGTACACTAGAATACATGTAATTAATACACTATAATACATGTAATTATTACACTAGAATACATGTAATTAATACACTAGAATACATGTAATTAATACACTATAATACATGTAATTATTACACCAGAATAAATGTAATTATTTCATTATAATAAATGTAATACACTCAAATAAATGTAATTAATTCATTATAATAAATGTAATTAATTCATTATAATAAATGTAATTAATTCACTAGAATAAATGTAATTAATTCACTAGAATAAATGTAATTAATACACCAGAATAAATGTAATTAATTCACCAGAATACATGTAATTAATACACTAGAATACATGTAAATATTAAAATCTTAGTTATGTTAACAAAGTAAAACAGAGTAAAGTTTCTTTCTTTCGTCTTTATTGTGTTTTATGTAGAAAACATCATTCATGGAATTATTTTTAGGAAGGCGGGGTCAAACCCGCCATGACCTCTGACCCCTCAACCCCACCTGGAGGGGGGAGGGGCTTCAGGGTGGTCAGTTGTCAGTCAGTTGTCACAGTGACAGACAGGAAGTCAGGGCAGAGCTTCAGTTGATTTTTGGGTGGCGGTAGTCTTTACCGGCAAACTTGGCTTTGTCTCCGAGCTCCTCCTCGATCCTGCAGGTCAGAAGTCAGAGGTCACATCTTACAGATCTTTATTCTTCTGTCAACTCAGACTCAAAAACGCTCCAACTTTGTAAACTTTGTAAACAGCCATGCTTTTACTTTGAAAAGTACTGTGTGAATGACAGGAAGTTCTCACCTCATCAGCTGGTTGTATTTGGCGAGACGCTCTGACCTGCAGGGAGCACCGGTCTTAATCTGACAGAGAGAGAGACAGGTAGAGACAGAGAGAGAGAGACAGACAGGTAGAGAGAGAGAGACAGAGAGAGAGAGACAGACAGGTAGAGAGAGAGAGACAGACAGGTAGAGAGAGAGACAGACAGACAGACAGACAGACAGGTAGAGAGAGAGAGAGACAGAGAGACAGAGAGACAGACATGTAGAGAGAGAGACAGACAGGTAGAGAGAGAGAGAGAGACAGAGAGACAGACAGGTAGAGAGAGAGACAGACAGGTAGAGAGAGAGACAGAGAGACAGACAGGTAGAGAGAGAGACAGACAGGTAGAGAGAGAGAGAGACAGGTAGAGAGAGAGAGAGACAGAGAGA